GTTTGTATGTTGGAGAGTTAGTAAAATCCACTACTGGACGTAATGGTACTTCTGGTTTGTGTATTTTTGGTAACCCATAAAATCTACAGGGGCTGCAACTTTTTGGAGCCAGAGTAAACCAAAGTGATACACCGAGCTTTTCTTTTATTGACTGTAGCATTTTGCTTGTTTCAGCCTTCAGCTTATTTAATGTCGCTCTTGATTTATTCGCGTTGAATTTTTCATAAGGTCCATCATTAAGATGATCAATGGCCTTCTTTTCGTAATCTGCAGAGTTCATGACAACTGTGATATTGCCTTTATCTGCTCTTGTAATTACAATTGACTTATCTTGCTGTAGTTGTCTTAATGCCATTTGCTCTTTTTATTTATATTCGGCGCATTTGGCTTCTGGTTCAGTAGTACTGCTGCAATTTTGTGTCTAATGACGTTTGCCTCTTCGGCTGTCACTGACTTTAACGATGGTTCAATTGCTGGGACTACTTCAAAGGCTGATAAACGCCTTTTGTTTAAATTGAAATTAAGTCCCTTTTTAAGGAGGGATAGTTCATCATCTGATAAATTTCTGTCAGAGAGATTGACCACCACTTTGTTCGCATCCAGACAGTTACGACTAGACGGATTTTCAAATTGATGGTTTTTAGGATTATTGCTTAATTGAAGCAACCTGTCGAACTTTCTGATTTGTCTTCTTTTTGAAGATTGAAGATAAAATTCTTCTTTAAATTTAAAAATGTTATCAATGAGAGACTTCAAATCTGATGTGACCAAGACAGATAAGATTTCATCTAAATTGGACATTCGAATACGAAATAATTCCATATTTTTGGTTGCTCTGTGAACGCGTTCTCGTACAAACGTTCTAGTTGCGGAAAGAGCTGCTTTAATTGATCTGCTAGAGTTATCAGGTGATTTGACAGTTATGGATTTAGGATAGATATTCTGTTGCAGACAACGGAGATTGAAAATACGATGATTGTACCAGTTACACATTTTCTTTGTTAGTTTAATACGATTGCAAAATAATTCATACGAACTGTGATCAAGATTTGATCGGATAGTTGCAAAAAATTGAGCGCTGAGTGAGAAGTAGACCTTTATATAAACATACAACTCTATTTATTTATTTATTATACATATTGATACCTGTTGCATGACTCATGATTGGACAAAAAAATTTTAAAAACAAGAGGTGTCCCTTTAAATATAAACCTTTGTTATGTTAATTTCGATTAATTTCCCTGAAGAAGTTCGGACCAGATTGCCGAACGAAAGGTTGGAATTAATCATTTCAATTTCGCTGAGATTTCACAAATATAACTTTATAAATAGATAAAGTTCTACATAGATTAAGGTTATCTCAGTTAGTTTTGACAACAACATATTAGCATGTCGGTAGCAAAGCCAAAATTTAAAGTGTTTGAAGGTGTTAGAAAAGTAGATACTACAAGCATATTTACTGGCGTAAGCGGTAACAAAATGGTCGAGATATACAGAGTGTGAAAGAACAAACAAGAATGTGATCTGTATCCATATATATATATATATATATATATATATATATATATATATATATATATATATGGTGGTCTCTCTTTCTGTTGCTCTCTTAGTCTGTGACCATTTCACTTTGATGAACCTGTCTCTTTTAACAATGTATATTCCCCTTATATTATATATAATATGTGTGTTTGTTTGACAGTCTGTTATATTTCGCTATGTATATATGGATCGGTACTCCATTATAATTAGCCAATCATGTTAAGACTGTCTATTGATTTGTTCATTTTGAATATTCGCTCACACACTTGTGTTCACACACTTGTTCGGACATTCATATATATTTTGCTCTCACACTATTGTGTGATATATATTGCTTCTCCTTGTGTTTGGAAAATAGAAGTATCATCGCAAACCTAGTGGTCTTCTGATTTCCGTCTTTCTTGAGTCAGGACTATTAAATTCTTGACCAGTACATAACAATAATTTGGCGACTAGTACATAACAGAATGTTTTAAGTAGAGTTTGTAATGAAGAGAGTAACAAAACGGCACATAACAATAATAAATACAGAAAAAAAAGGCTGAGTTGACATCAGTCTTATGGTTCATCTCGATTATTTGTTTAGCTATAGACGAAGTTGGTAGTCTGACACCTGTATCTATTGGTTTTTCACAATTCATTTGTTTTTCTAACCATTTCGGGATATGCTCTCTCACCCTGAAATGCAAAGCGCGATTACTCCTCCTAAATTGGTAAATAGTGTTGGATCGCTTGTGCACTTTTGAGGTTTGGAGTGAAGCATATTTTTAGCTTTTTCGACATTTACAAGCAGGGCTACATAATAGGTTCTGAGGATGATCGAATTCAACCTTTTGCCTCTAAATCCTCCTGTTTATTTCCGCGTTATATGGTAATTTGATGAAAACACTTTTCTAAAGGGGGCGGTATAAATTGTAGGTTCTAGAGACTAATTGACTTCTACACCTTTTTAAAAATTTTAAACGATATTCGTTTTCAACAAAAGAGCATCCATCAATATTGTTGAAAACGGATATCTTTAAATATTTGTAAAAAATTACATTTGTAAAAAATTATATTTGTAAAATCTCAGCGATATTGAAATGAGTAGTTCCAACGTTTTCTGCGTTCGTCAATCTGGTCCGAACTTCTTCAGGGAAATTAATCGAAATTAAAATAACAGAGGTTTATATATATAAAAATAAATATAAAATTCTAGATACTAACAGTTTGAACAGACATGAAGGTGCGTGATGTTAGCTGACGCATAGGAAATCCTGATTAATAAATAAGAATGGATATGTATCACTAATTAATTAATAATACTTGGTCAAAGTTCCCGACTGTTTATATCTTCTTATGGAGACGTTAAGAAGTGTTTTACAACTGTTTACCCACACACGAATGCACACTCTGTTTAAGGTGTTTAACAAAGATAGACCAATATTTGTAAGTCCGAGGTCAAATTTTGATCACAACTCATACAATTTTGAACAAGGCATTAAGAAGACAAATTTCGCGAGATGATATCATTTCGTAGTTTCTTAACAACCGCTTTACAACTAACATGGTTAACAATGATAAAATAAAGTTCATGAAAATTACTCAGTTAAATAAAAACAAAAGTACATACTAATGACCAATCATATTAAGATAGGTCATGCAGTCCAGGGTAGGCGAAGATTGAAGTCTATTGATTTTTGTACACACAGTTTAGGCTGTATGTGATTAATCCAAAGTGCTTCCATCACCTTCAATAACCTGAATCAGAGTTATGTGAAATAATTGTGAAACAGTCACTAATAATTATTTTGTGACCAGACATTAATAAGTGTTTTGCAATGGATGATGCTGGATTTCTATTAGGATTAATCGCGTTAGGATTTTCGATATGATTTACTAGCCATTTTGGAATATGTTCTTTTCGACGACATTGGAACATTCTGTTAGTTCTACCTATATAGGTGTCACCGCAGCTGCAGGTGAACTTGTAGATACAGTTTGAAGTAGAGTCCACAGAATTTCGTCCTTTAATCGTAGGAACAGGGATCGAAAATGTTCGGCAAGTGAGAAAAAGAGATGTGGCGGCGTAGAATGTGCGTTTGACGGCTGATCGAAGTCTTTGAGTTGTCAACTGCATAATCTGGTCGCCCTTGAATGGTAGATTAATAAAGATGGCTTTCTTTGGTACAGGAGCTGTCTTTTCGAGATGTGGTTTTTCTTTGCTGTGACAAGTGATAAAGCTCTCCGGATAACCATTAGCTAATAAAACTGAATGTACATGTCGAAGCTCATCCATCAGTGTGTCACTCGTGCATATTTTTCGGGCCTTTGAGAACAAACATTTCACTAGGGAACGTTTATACTGGATAGGAACAAAACTGGTAAAATGAAGATATTGTCCAGTCCATGTTTGTTTACGAAAAATAGAGCGCTGAATCGTTCCATCATTCCTCCTAATCATAGTAATATCCAGGAAACCGAGTTTGTTATTCGATTCTAGTTCGGAAGTCACTCGAATATTTGGATGAATATGATTAAATAGAGTAATGAAGTTTTCAATAGATTTACTATTATTACCAATAATAAGAGTATCATCTACATAACGTTTATACAGCATAAATCCTCCAAACATACCTTGCATTTGTTTCTCTAATTTCGATATGTCGAAATTTTGTTTTTATTTAACTGAGTAATTTTCATGAACTTTATTTTATCATTGTTAACCATGTTAGTTGTAAAGCGGTTGTTAAGAAACTACGAAATGATATCATCTCGCGAAATTTGTCTTCTTAATGCCTTGTTCAAAATTGTATGAGTTGTGATCAAAATTTGACCTCGGACTTACAAATATTGGTCTATCTTTGTTAAACACCTTAAACAGAGTGTGCATTCGTGTGTGGGTAAACAGTTGTAAAACACTTCTTAACGTCTCCATAAGAAGATATAAACAGTCGGGAACTTTGACCAAGTATTATTAATTAATTAGTGATACATATCCATTCTTATTTATTAATCAGGATTTCCTATGCGTCAGCTAACATCACGCACCTTCATGTCTGTTCAAACTGTTAGTATCTAGAATTTTATATTTATTTTTATATATATAAACCTCTGTTATTTTAATTTCGATTAATTTCCCTGAAGAAGTTCGGACCAGATTGACGAACGCAGAAAACGTTGGAACTACTCATTTCAATATCGCTGAGATTTTACAAATATAATTTTTTACAAATGTCGACTGCTCACTCGGCGCCCAAATATTTTATGATACCTTTAACTTTTTCATATGTATCGACTTGACAAGTGAATGTGTAAGGAATCAGATTGTCGTTCGAAATGTATGGCGCAAATATATCACATCACATTGCTTTTCAGATAATCTCCATCTACTAATCACAACACTATCCAAATTTATACAAGGGACTAATTGTTTTAAATTTTTATTTGTCTATTTATATTTACAAATGGTATTATAGGTAGATGAACTTTTAGAAAAGTATGAAGAGAATACAATGAATGAACTTGGTAAACTATTAGCTAATAAATTAAATATACCATTGAATGAGGGCAGCAGTCTTCCGTCATGGTTTCCTCGTATAACACCACAAGTTCATGATCCTATTGACGGTTCTTTATCTACACAAGATTTGAATATCAATGATCAGCCTAATCATATGTCAAATATTCAGAGAACGCATCAAGATCCTAACAGTATTACTACTACTACTACTATTAATAATAATAATACTGTTCAGAATAGAGATCCACTTAGTTCGAATCGATTCGCATCAACTGTAGTAATGCCGAACTCTCCAGAATTATGGGATGATGAGACATTTGATGATGCAATATTAAGTCATGCTGCACAATCTTTGGAAAAACAGCTGAATAATAGCCGAAGTGGTAAGCGTTTTTGTGTTAGTTTTCTACGTGTTATTTTATTCCTTAGCCTTCCGAGTGGAACATAGGACTTCAAACTGGAACTTTAAAGTTTCGGTAGCAGTGGTTCCATTTTTCCGGGGTGGTTTGTCTGCCCGCATGGATATGCAGCAGTTCAAGTCGCCACACTCCCTCCATGTAGCACACAAAGCGAGAGAAGAAAGTAGAAGAAATGAAAAATAGAGGCAGTAGATAGGGATATGAGACAAAAGTAATAGTAATAACCAAGAACAATATAGTTTTATTGGAAATGATAAGTCACAAGGAGTGGATGCATCTGCGCTAGCCATTCAGAACGAGAATTTCGAGTCATATCACCAATTGTTTTCAGCCATGATTGGTTTTCACCATCCCGAGAATCCCAACCGTTCATCAGCCAGTCTACACCGCCCAATGTGGCTGGCTGACTGGCTTAAACTAACTGTTGTAGATTTCATTGAATGATGAGGTCATATTTCGGTTTCACCACCACTAACAGCTCTTATCCAACCTAATCAATCCAATATCAATCAGCTAACATTGCCCGTTGTCGAGGAAGGTGATCGATGGCTAGACATGCATGCGTAACACATGTCCTCACCATCTCAGTCGATGTAACTTTACAGCCACATCGATTGATTTCCCCTCCCTCCTTTCCTAGCCTTGACGCCTAACCTCAATATTGCTCACCCTATTATACCACTTCACACGGTTCCGGGGTGGTGTTGCTAGTCTTCCTTTTTTTTCGGGTTTATTTCCAGCTAAGCGAAGTTGGTGAGTGCGTTGGTTGGGGATCGAACCTTGGACCAAGTGGCGGGCAAGCATCCTTCCTTTGTGCCAACGACTCATAAAATGGATTGTGTACATGTACAAGTACATTTCGTTATTACAATTTCATCCACTTTTGGAGGTATAGACTGCCTAGTCGGGATCCTCGGAATGTTAAAAACCTTTGGCTCTGCGAACTATCGTTGTGGCATTCGACGATTATAATCTCTGATATATCCATTCTAGGGACATGAATTCCTTTAAGGTTGCAGATACGCCTTACTGACTAGTGAGTACCACCTTGTGCGAAATCTAGGTCAAGCAAGACTTTCTGTGGCCGATTGCCTCCAGCCATCTAATACCCAACCCTTCATTTTCTTCCATGTTACTGTTCTCTCTCCCATACAGCTGTCTGCTCATTACAGCTCTTATAGAAATTAATCTTTTCTTCAACTTTGTCCGGTTTTTGAAGTAAGGTAAATTGAACTAGGGCACTTCTGTGCAAAGTTCTTTGCTGAAACTCTGACAGTTAGTCAGCCAGCAAGTCAGTATCTTTATCCAGTTACTGAAAATCCTACCTGTTATGTGCTCGTCGAGTAGTTAATAGTCCTGATGCGGAAAGAGGGAAATCAGAAGACCACCAGGTTTACAATGATACTTGTATTTTCCAGACAAGGAAAATAATTGTCACACAAGTGTGTGAGTGGAAGGGTACTTAGATGTACGAAACGTGTGTGAACAAGAATGATAAAGCAAGAGTATATATGAAAATGGCTAATACACATGAACCAATAAGACAGTCTTACCATGATTGGTTGTAATGTCATGTGACAATAAGGTCATACATGTTTATTTAGTTAGTGGACAGACAAAAGCATAATATCAGTTATATTGGAATATCGACCCATATACACATAGCAAAATATAACAGACTGTCAAAAACAAAACACATATCATGTGGATACATATCGCTGCCTAATCTTAACAAAGACAAAGAGACATTGTTTTTCAATTCTTTTTCTTAATATCGTTAAATGCATCAGTTATACGTTATAGGTTTTTGATTGTGTCTGTTTTGTGGCATCATTTTCATGTTGTCTTCTTTTTGTTCCTTCACGTTCCCAGTGGAAAATAGGGGGCTTCAAGCTAGAGGCTTGAAGTTTCTGTAGCTGTGGGGTGTATTTTCACAGGATGAGGTTGCTAGCCTCATGCCTAACCTTTCCTCTTTACCAGCTTTTTTATTACTGGCTTAGCGAGGTAAATGAGTGCGTGTGTGTCTGGGGATCGAACTCCGGACCATGTGCATAGTCGGTGAGCGTCCTAACCGCTGTGCTACCGACGCACCATTTCTATACAGACGGTTTAATTTCAGTTCAGTGGAATCATCAGTTTTGTTTTATTTCTTATTATCTCCGGTTATTTATTGATTTCTAAGGTAATGTGAATAGATAAAAGTCGATAGATAACCTTAATACACTAACTAGTCAAAGTAGGTTCAGCATTTTCCCTAGAAGTATTGAAGCTGTAGAGCGTGTTTGCCACTTCAATTATGATAGAGAAGATTTGTAGCTCAGGTGGATAATTTTGATGTGGTTTTGTTCTCTGAGCTGGATAGTTAGTTTGCGAAGCTTTCATCACCTTACTGGGTGACATCTTCAGCGCATACTTCAAATTGAAGTGAGCTTTTAGGTTTCTCCACGAGTTTATTAATCATTCCTCCTGGTGACCTTGGACGTGATTGGTTGTTTATGTATGTTTTCACACCTTCTAGGTTACTTGTGTTGGAACTGATTGTTTCTGTGACTTGAATTTTGGCCAATCGTGTGTGAAGTTTCTTTCTTATTGGTTGATAAATTTTGTCTATCTCGATGTGTCTATTGATTGATGATGATTCACTGGAATGCCAAGCTTCTAAAAATTCTCTAGCATTCTTGTTATTTCCTTTGTCTAATATTTGAACCTTGTCCCAGTCGAATTGATGTCCGTGGTTGTCTGTGTGTAGTGAAATGAGGGAGTGTATATCATGTCTTTTGACGGCTAGCTTATGTTCGTGGATACGAAGACGAAGGGGACGTCCACTTTGGCCAATGTAGTGTTTTTCACAGTTGTTACAGTTTATTTTGTAGATGATGTTGGTTTTGTCTTCTTTTGCTGTTGAGTCTTTTGGTTGACATAGAATTGAGTGCAGCGACTTTGTTGGTTTGTGTACGACGTCAATTCCTAAAGGTTTGAAGAGTCTTTTAGTGATTTCTGAGATATCCTTTATATATGGTAAGGCGATTTTCTTTGTGTTTTCCTTGGTGGCTTTTGTTTTGGTAGGTTGGCTTGGGGGTATATGTCTCTTGATGAAATTCCGGGGATATCCATTCTTTTGGAAGACGTCCATGAGATACTTTTCTTCAATTTTTCTTAAGGTGGGAGTGCTGCAGTGAGTCCTTGCTCTCTTGAATAGTGTTTGTATGCAGTTCCTTTTGTGTGCTATTGGGTTGTTGCTGTTGTAATTCAGTATTTGGTCTGTGTGAGTTGATTTCCTATGAACTTGAGTTTCTAATTCTCCTGTAGTTGTTCGTTTGACTAAGACGTCCAAAAATGGTATTTTGTTCTCGGATTCCTCTTCTCTTGTGAATTTGATGTCGTTCAAGACGTTGTTTATTAAGAAGCAATTACTTAGCAACGACGAACAACTTCCACAACAATCAAAAATGCAACACACAAGCTGGATGGAATGCATAAATCTATGCCTAACAACATACTTCCAATTCAACGGCCAAATATATGAACAAGTCAAAGGAACACCCATGGGATCGCCAATATCAGGTTTGATTGCAGAAGCAGTGATGCAAAGACTCGAAAACATAATTCTACCAAAGATCAAACCCAAGATTTGGATACGCTACGTCGACGACACATTTGTAATAATCAAAAGAAACGAATTAGACAAAACTCACAACTTAATAAACAACGTCTTCAACGACATCAAATTCACAAGAGAAGAGGAATCCGAGAACAAAATACCATTTTTGGACGTCTTAGTCAGGCGAACAACTACAGGAGAATTAGAAACTCAAGTTTATAGGAAATCAACTCACACAGACCAAATACTGAATTACAACAGCAACAACCCAATAGCACACAAAAGGAACTGCATACAAACACTATTCAAGAGAGCAAGGACTCACTGCAGCACTCCCACCTTAAGAAAAATTGAAGAAAAGTATCTCATGGACGTCTTCCAAAAGAATGGATATCCCCGGAATTTCATCAAGAGACATATACCCCCAAGCCAACCTACCAAAACAAAAGCCACCAAGGAAAACACAAAGAAAATCGCCTTACCATATATAAAGGATATCTCAGAAATCACTAAAAGACTCTTCAAACCTTTAGGAATTGACGTCGTACACAAACCAACAAAGTCGCTGCACTCAATTCTATGTCAACCAAAAGACTCAACAGCAAAAGAAGACAAAACCAACATCATCTACAAAATAAACTGTAACAACTGTGAAAAACACTACATTGGCCAAAGTGGACGTCCCCTTCGTCTTCGTATCCACGAACATAAGCTAGCCGTCAAAAGACATGATATACACTCCCTCATTTCACTACACACAGACAACCACGGACATCAATTCGACTGGGACAACGTTCAAATATTAGACAAAGGAAATAACAAGAATGCTAGAGAATTTTTAGAAGCTTGGCATTCCAGTGAATCATCAATCAATAGACACATCGAGATAGACAAAATTTATCAACCAATAAGAAAGAAACTTCACACACGATTGGCCAAAGTTCAAGTCACAGAAACAATCAGTTCCAACACAAGTAACCTAGAAGGTGTGAAAACATACATAAACAACCAATCACGTCCAAGGTCACCAGGAGGAATGATTAATAAACTCGTGGAGAAACCTAAAAGCTCACTTCAATTTGAAGTATGCGCTGAAGATGTCACCCAGTAAGGTGATGAAAGCTTCGCAAACTAACTATCCAGCTCAGAGAACAAAACCACATGAAAAAAAACTTCACTTATTTAGGGAGCTTCCTCAGCCAGCCTCAGAGGATTGATTGCTGACGAAATCTCAGGATAGATACAGAATGTTTGTTTTTGTATTCGTCAAATTACATCATCTCTAACACAGCAGACATGATATCCGACTGGTTATCATCGATCAAAGGATGTGTACACTGCACAGCAGCACTTCGCTCCATCC